CACAAAAAGGCTTCTCAATAAGCTACACGAAATTTACCATTCAACTGACACCGTAAATGTACGAAAACTGAATGCTTCTTTATCACCAAACGATACACGCAGCCACCACAAAAACTTAACAGAACAACCTGACCATTTTATCACTTGTTGTTGATGGCAAGATAAATCGATATGTAACAAATTCTTGAATTCTGATAAACATACGTAGGTGTTTACCTTTTTTGTCACTCAGCATAATCTAGAATTTTGAACGCAATTTTCTTACCCTTTACGGCCTTTTACCTAAGTACCCGGCAATCTAGGTCTAGGCTAGCAAAACTGCCGCCACTAATGACTGGCAATACTGGGTGCCACTACTATCTCGGTGTACACGTGCCTTAAGACCTCCAGTGAAAAACAAAACAGAAATGTGATGACTTTCAGAGTGGCGACGGAATAATCTCGAGGATGGATGCCGAGGATTATCTGGCGCGATATCCTGATCTCACAAAAGCTGACATTTTTGCAGGGATGTCTAAAACGAAAACCATCACAAACAAAGCGCAGACAATTCCTAAATTAAAGGGAAACATCCGTACTGAAATTAGGACAATACAGACAGAGGCATTAAAAACGGCTTGAATCTTGAATTACATAATCTGAAGAGCTTATCAGTATGAAGAGAAGAGAGAATTTGAAAAAGTTCTTTCATCGAAAGTGTAGAAGGAAATATTTCTCGTTTCTCAGGCCGTAATTGATTTAATTTTGTTGAAAGTTGGGGAGATACTAACTGCTTAAATCCCCGTTCGCCAGACGGACTCAGCGGGCTTTCGCTTCTCATTCTGACTTGGTCGAGCTCTGTACATCCAGAACCGGCAGACACAGTTGTTTCTTCGTCGATCGCGAGCTACCAGTAGCTCGCAAAGGAAATTCTGGTGGCCCACAACATTTTTTAAAAAGGTGTAAAAATCATAGAAGGTTCCGTAAATTTTAATAAACCCAAGCGGCGGTAACACTGCGGTGAGTGATCTGTTCGAGAACGATCTCGATTACTTTGAACGGAATAAATACGCAAGGCACAAAGTCCAGCGGTTGGGTTAGAGTTGGCCTGCAATTAAAAACATTCTGAGCAGTAGTAAGAAGATGAACACATACCATTTCCATTCGGAACGGAAAGAACAATATTCCTTTACAGAAGTTAAAGCTAAAAATGTATGTTTGTTATGTAATACATCTGTTTTCGTTGCTAAAAAAGCGAATATCGAGAGGCACTACAAAACTGTACATTCGAATTTTGATCATTCCCATTACGTTCTGCAACCAGAACGAAAAAACTGAAACAATTGAAAAATCAGTCAATTGGACAACAGACAATGTTTTTAAAAACAATCGACAAAAGTAAGGCTGCAACTGAAGCATCATACCGGGTGTCCCAGATAATTACACAAAAGAAAAAACCTAATGAAGACGAGGAAATGATAAAACATGATAGAGCTCAAGCGTTACAAAGAAGATTATTCAAAACCTTGGCCGACGAAATTGATTGTCAATACGGGGAAATAGGTACTTCTTCACTCTGAAGTCCGATGGTTAAGTAGGGGACGAGTGCTGAAACGTTTTAATGATATCATATTTGCCATAGTTCGATTTTTCAAACAATGTGATGAACCGATTCCGGAACTGGAAAATTCAATCTGGCTTAGAGATTTTGGTTTTCTTGTGGATATGACCGAAAAAGTAAATGAACTTAATTTGCAGCATCAGGGGAGAGACAAAGAACTATCAGAAATGATTTCTGATATAAAAGCGTTTATCAAAAAACTTGAGTTTTGGGAACAAAACTTAATCGATGGCGATACCAGGCATTTTCCTGAAACTGCTACAGTGGCGCAGTTTGTTGTTTCACCCGCAATTTGCAACACCCTACACAGACTTTAGCAGCTCTTACTCACGAAGTTGCAGTATCCTGGAATGAGATACCTCAACAGGATATCGACTACCTTATTAACCAATATTATGTTGCTTACGAAAAAACGGGACGTAGCGCTTAAGGAGTTTAAGCGTAGAGAGTCTACGTCAAAACTCGCCTTCTATCGTCAGTTGAGAAACGCTACATGTGATGCAGTACGTAATGGAAAAAAAGAGTATTTTAAATCACCTTTTTTGTAAGAGATTGTGCGTCCATTTTAGCATATCCACTCACCATCATTTTCAATCTCTCTCTGAAAAATAATCACTTTCCATCTATTTGGAAGTTGTCTAGGTTAACTCCTGTTTTTAAAAAAAATGAGAAGAATGAAGTAGAAAACTATCGGGCTATCACAATTATCAGAAATTTCGCTAAAACATTCGAAATAGTGATACAAACTGTGCTATATTTCCATGTAAGCACGTCTATCTCCATCAGTGAACACGGTTTCATGAAGGGCAGGTCAACAGTTACTAATTTGCTACATCTTACTCAATATGTTTGTGAATCAATCGATAGGCAACTTCAAACGGATGTAATATATACTGATTTATCTAAAGCGTTTGACAGTTTAGATCATAACATCCTACTAAATAAGTTATCTAGATTTGGTCTTTCAGATGCATTGTTGCTATTTTTCAGATCTTATTTATTTCATAGGAAACAGTATGTTATGTGCAATGGACATAAGTCAAGCGAATACCCTGTAATGTCCGGTGTTCCTCAAGGATCTAATTTGGGACCTCTGTTATTTATTATGTTCTTAAATGATATTTCTAAAGTTATCGATATCGATTTTCTTATATATGCTGACTATATGAAACTTTTATGTAGAGTCTCTAACATTGACGACTATCATTGCTTGCAATGCAACATTGTAAGGGTTGGCAGCTGGTGTCAGTCGCCAATAAAAAACGCAACATTGAAAATCCCATAAGGAACGAAGCAATAGAAGTGGGGGTTTTAGGGCAAGTTTATGTAGATCCTTCGTTAAGTACCCGCAAATTGGAGACTGTGTGTGGTGTTAGTCGACGTACTGTCCAACGGATTATAAAGGCCCATAGTTTTCATCCGTATAAAATTCACCTGGTACAAGAACTCAATGAAGACGATTTTCATCGGCGATTACAATTTTGTGAAGATATGAGTGAACGATTTATAAACGATGAACATTTTCTATTCAACACTTGCTTTTCCGACGAATGTTCCTTTTTCTTAAATGGCGTAGTAAATCGTCATAACTGCCGATATTGGTCAGATTCTAATCCCAGAATTTATCATGAGGTTCATACACAGCAGCCACAAAAATTAAATGTTTGGGCTGGTACTTTTTGGCAATCATTTAGTTGGTCCTTTTTTCTTACCTGGAAATTTGACCGGTGAAATGTATTTGGAATTACTGGAAGACGCCATAGATTGAAAATCAGAATGATCGGCGGTACTTTGCGAATAGGTTGATGTTCCAACAGGATGGTGCCCCACCACATTACGCATTACGTGTACGTTCGACAATATTTAGATCAGACGTTTAGAGATCGATGGATTGGTAGAAGAGGTGCCATTGAATGGTCCCCAAGATCGCCAGATTTAACACCTTTGCATTGCTTTATGTTGGTTAATTTAAAAAGCAGAATCTATGCTACTCAGCCAACATCATTAGAAGACCTGCGACAAAGAATTCTGAATGAGTGCCTTCAAATTACTTCTCACATATTGCAAAATGTGCGGCAACGTTTTGAGCAAAATCTTTATTATTGCATGGAGAGTCATGGTGGCCATTTTCAACATTTACTTGCCTAACGGGTCAGTCTTCATTTTAAAATTACTTTGCTGCCAAATGTATTGATCTCCACTAATGATGATATATTAGTTTTATTTAAGCTTTAAATCAATAAATCTTCAAAACTACTGAACTGAAGTACATTAATTTTATATCATCAGCTTGTGTCCCCCTCGAAAACAAAATCGACGGGTCTAAGCGTTTTTCCAAAAAAAAAACTGAGCTGCCATCTGCGTCTGTTTCGTTTTCGATGCGCCACCCTGTATAAAATCGTACAATACCCTACCAGATGAGCTGAAGGAGTTAATTTTTATGAGTTCAAACGATCATTGAGAAAATATTTGCTGTACCTATATCTTTATTCTGCTGACGAATTTTTAGAGCACAAAAGCAACAAGTCTATGATCAATACCTAAATTTTTAATGGTGTAAGTTCTTGCAAGAACGTTTTGAAATTCTACTTTGACATTTCTTTTCTTTTTGTAAAATATCTTTATCTTACTTGATTACTTTTGTTATTTAGCTTGACTGGCTACATTGTTATTTACTGGTTGCAGCCAATAAATATGCAAGTGAAACTAGCAGTACATGAAACTTCCTAATTGTAACGTCAGGATCAAGATTTTTGATGTCTTCTGTTAGCAATAATCCATCGTACATTAAGAGGCTTAAGCAGAAACGTATCCAAACTAACTTCATTAGCGCTGGCTATGAAAGCCTCTCTCATGGGAAAGATGTCAACCTTCTTTATGGCCCCTTCCCCGGCAGACTGCTGCCCTGACATACAACAGACGACGCGCTGTTAATTGAGTTGGCAGTCATTACCCTTTTCTCTTTGTCAGGTGCCTTTTGAATTATTTTGGGTTATGGAGGTGTTAGAGTGCTCGAGTTGCTTTTACAGACTCTAATTTATTATGCTGTGAAAGCAGTTTTGACTTGAATGTTAGGCAAGTTTCAAAGCACCCACGCTAGATAGATGAACATGCTTTCAAACTTCCACTCCTTTTACATTTTTCTTTCCGATATTGTGAGGACGAGACGTGCTTCGATTAGTTTTAATACAGTGGTACAGCTTCGGAGTCTGATAAATTGGATGTAGATAGAAAGAAAACAGTCGAGAAAATATTTTGTATATGCTTTTACTTCGTCCTGAAAGCTCGGCTGCTTTTACGGTTTTCTTTTATAATAACTGGAGCTGTAATCTCCAGCATACAAGAACGGTACATTTTCAATATATCAAGAACAGGCAAAGTATGATAGGAATGGATGTAGTTATGTAGTATCTATTAGTTATTAGTTTAATTAAGTTTATTAGTAAAATGAACACATGTATGTCGCATACGAGGGATGTCCTCTAAGTTTTGCATATGGAAATAAAACAACAAGGTAGGTAATACACATCTGCATGCGCTCGAACCAATTTTCGAAGCACTTATTCCACTCGTTTTCTGGCAGATCCAAAACGGCATTTTTGAATGCATCAACTGCTTCTTTTGGTGACTGGAACCTTTGACCGCGCAGTCTGTTTTTAATTTTCGGGAAAGTAAAGAAATCGTTAGGACTTAGATCGGGACTATATGGAGGATGGTCCAATAATTCCTCGTTTTCTTCCGTTAAATACTGCCTTGTTTTTTGGGCTGTGTGCGAGCTTGCATTGTCTTGGTGGAAGATGATTCTTCTTTCCGGGTTGATTTTTCGAAGCTCGGTGATGATTTTTGTCAAACAAATGGTGGTATACCAATCCTCAGTAACAGTTCTTTGCTCATGACCCGCTTTTGACACAAATATCGCGACCAGCTTTTTCGAAACACTTCGAGAACGGATGACTTTTGTTGGCTTTTCTTCACCTTGGAATACGTAAACAGCCGACTGTCGTTTATTTTCTGGTTCATAACAGTAAATCGGTCGACGTTTTCCTGGGTGACTGCCGTTTTTGGTGCACCCACCCTGGGATCGTCGCTAAGACTCACCCGTCCACGTTTGAATTCTCCAAACCAACGGGAAATTGTCGACTGACGGTGGCGCTTCGTTGCCGAAAACAGACAGTAACTCAGCAAGGCATTTTTGTTGCGATAATTCCCTCTGAAAGTTGTAATAAATTATGGCGCGAAAATTTTCTTGGTTGAGTTCCATTTTTCTAATGACTTAAAAATTCACTGTAGTGAGAACACTGCACGTATTGTTATGAAACCTTGAATTTAAGTTTACTAAAGAGTGAGGTTAAGATTCAGTACTGACGTTCGATCCGCGCGGCCTACTATGTTTTGTAACGGTTTCACCGTCCGATCGTATTTATTAAATCACTTCTCGATTATCATTTCATTAATCCCATCTCTAGCTTTTTTACTTGGAAAAATTTCCGCTTGGAGCCCGCTTGATGCGGAGTTCCTGATCTGCGATCTTCCTCGCGCTTCCTTTTCACTTGAGCCGCCGATCGAACAAGAGCTAAGAATTTTGTTCTCTGCACCATGTGCTAGCGGTTTGTAGAATGTGTGTCCGAATAGGACAAAATGATTGGGGCCACCCCCTTTCCCTTTGCATTTGTCTTTGAGTTTTGCCTTTGTCTTTGACTTTGCTTTTGCCTTTGACTTTGACTTTGCATTGCTTGGCCTATCACTTCACCCATGCATGTGCCTTGGCAGCGCCATCACCTTTAAGTTCAACTTCGCCTACATCTAGTTCTGAAGCCACTAAATGTGAGATCACCCCTCATAACTGGGACCTCCACTTCAAGCACCTGGCTATCCTCGCTTCAGTCCAGTCAAAAATGGACCAGCGAAAGATAAGTGTATAGTTTTATAGCAGCGCCAAAGATTTAAAACTTGTTTTGTTCTTTAAAATTGTAATGTAATGAAAATGCTTTTTTGTTAAATAAAATCTATTAAATTTTTGTGTTCTGTTTGTTCTTCTATCCTCTAGCCATGCCATGGTCGACATATAGCTACACGCGTGTAGATGTCTTCATGCCACCGACTGAGCTACCGGAAGCTAACGGTAACCCCCTTTCTTTGATTGTGCAGAAAAGTTGGAATCTTCATTGCATTCCATCTTTTCTGGACTTTTTGCGGAAAGGAAGCGTTACAGTTTCTATATGCAAAACTTAAAAGACACCCCTAGTACAACTGTGTATAATTTCATTTTAAGTTGGCTTACGTTGCTTACACAACACATTGAAAAGGTTGGCGACTAGTGCCCTAGTATGATATTGTATAACAGGCAAAAACCCTTACAGCTAAGAAGCTGAGCGGCAAGAATTTGGGGGTTAAACCATAAAAAGGTGATAGCCGTGAGTAGGCTCGTATTCCGGAAATTCTGTGGTTATTATTTATTTATAACTATGAAATAATTCTACCTACCCTGCCGACGTTTGTTGCCTATTACTTTGCTGGGAAAGAATTTGACAAATGGGAACTCGTTAATAGAACATGGAACTGTGCGATCATTAGTAACACGCTTCGTGAAATTGGAAGGAATGAGGGGTGAAAAGATTCAATATTCTCCACAACACCAGGTCACGGTTGCCAAAATTACGCCTTCAAGGCAGTTTGCCCAAAATTGAGTCTGGAGCAAGAATGAATGGTGGCATTTATTGAAAATAAACGGTCTTTCACACCTACAGCTGGTTTTTTCAACTCTCTAGAGAGGTAGAATAGTGTGGAATGAATAGTGTTATCTGTATTTAGGTTTCTGCATACGCGACATTGTTAAAAAATGGCGCCAAGTGGGTTGGCTTTGCACATCCTACACAACGTTCATAACTGCTTAAGTTCAGCGCAATTTAAATCCTCTGAGAAAAAAGTCAGTTACGGACATGTACAGAGAAATTAAACGTATTAATATAGTCAAACATTAACTGTCAGGGCCGTATCGTCAGTCGTTCCTACAATTGTAGGACGCCTTTAATTTCTAGATTGCACCTGTTCCGTGTGAGAGTCAGTGCTCTCCTATTGTGAAGTTATGTTTTCTTTTTGAATTGTAGGAAATTTCAGGCTGATAAAACATGATATAAATAAAAAACATGAACAATTTGCTGCAAATAAATATTTGCGCGAAAATTTTCTTGGTTGAGTTCCATTTTTCTAATGACTTAAAAATTCACTGTAGTGAGAACACTGCACGTATTGTTATGAAACCTTGAATTTAAGTTTACTAAAGAGTGAGGTTAAGATTCAGTACTGACGTTCGATCCGCGCGGCTTACTATGATTCTATATGCAAAACTTAAAAGACACCCCTCGTACAACTGTACACAACACATTGAAAAGGTTGGCGACTAGTGCCCTAGTATGATATTGTATAACAGGCAAAAACCCTTACAGCTAAGAAGATGAGCGGCAAGTATTTGGGGGTTAAACCATCAAAAGGTGATAGCCGTGAGTAGGCTCGTATTCCGGAAATTCTGTGGTTATTATTTATTTATAACTCTGAAATAATTCTACCTACCCTGCCGACGTTTGTTGCCTATTATTTTGCTGGGAAAGAATTTGACAAATGGGAACTCGTTAATAGAACATGGAACTGTGCGATCATTAGTAACACGCTTCGTGAAATTGGAAGGAATGAGGGGTGAAAAGATTCAATATTCTCCACAACACCAGGTCAGGGTTGCCAAAATTACGCCTTCAAGGCAGTTTGCCCAAAATTGAGTCTGGAGCAAGCATGAATGGTGGCATTTATTGGAAATAAAAGCTCTTACACAACTACTGGTAGTTTTTTCAACTCTCTAGAGAGGTAGAATAAATAGTGGTAAATCTGTATTTAGGTTTCTGCATACCCGGCATTATTAAAAAAATGGCGCCAAGTGGGTTGACTTTGCACATCCTACACAACGTTCATAACTGACTAAGGTCAGCGCAATTTAAATCCTCTGAGAAAAAAGTCAGTTACGGACATCTACAGAGAAATTAAACGTCAGTCAAACATTAACTGTCTTAGGGCCGTATCGTCAGTCGTTCCTACAATTGTAGGACGCCTTTAATTTCTAGATTGCACCTGTTCCGTGTCAGAGTCAGTGCTCTCCTATTGTGAAGTTATGTTTCCTTTTTGAATTGTAGGAAGTTTCAGGCTGATAAAATATGATATAAATCAAAAACATGAACAATTTGATGCAAATAAATATTTGTGACATAACCTCAAAATAGAGCGCTGACTCGGAAAAATTGAAAACTATGGAAATCAAGGAGACCATAAAGACGTCCTACAATTGTAGGAACGGCTGACGATACGGCCCTTAGTCCATAGACGTTCCATTCCTGCTCTACTATTAGTTACTATCCAAGTTTCAAGGTTCTCCCTTTCGCGGCATCGCGAGTTATCATTTCATGCAAAAAGTTTTTCTGAAAATTCTCACGACCTGCTATAACTGCAAAAAACTTTTATTTTCTTCGTTTTTAGCCGTTTTCTCCGCCGCCACCGGACCGATTTTCAAAAACTACGCTAAGCTTTTGCGTCCTTGTTGCACTCTAACACAGAATGCTAAACAAATGTTTTCTTGGTGAAAGAGCATATAACAGATTCAAAGACAAGGCAGAGTCTCCGTGGATTTTTTTTGTCCTAAATGCTATAATTTCAATACAAAAACGATTTTGTTATTAATACTAGTAACGAAAAATAATAATTTAGCTAACTGGGATAGAGGAAATATACTAAGTGACATATAAATCCGAACACCCAGTTTAAATGGTTTTATTTTAATAAAATTTTGTATAAGTACTTAATGAAGCATAATAAGTAAATGATAAAAATTTTAAAATGATTGCACTGATTTAAAGCCCTTTGACCTTTAATAATGTGTGAATGCACCCTGATGTGGTACGCATTCTCCAACGCGCCTAGGCATGCTTCTGATCAGGTGGTCAATGTCCTTCTGTGGTATCTCATTCCAGGCAACCACCAACTCCTCTCGAAGTGCTTCTAGAGTCTGAGGAGGACGTTGAAAATTGAGCAATCTCCTACCCATCATATCCCACACGTGCTCAATTGGGGATAAGTCGGGAGATCTTAGTGGCCATGGTAACAATGTGACATCATTATGTTGAAAGAAGTCTATTGTGACTCTTGCAACGTATGGTCGGGCATTATCTTGTTGGAAAGTTGGATCTGCCAGGGTGTCAAGATAGGGTAAAGGATGGGCTTCTAGAACTTCGTGGATATAATGCTGCGCGTTCATGTTACCTCTGATGAAGATTAAAGGTGACCTGGAACCATAAGCTATAGCACCCCAAACCATAACTCCAACAGTGTGATGAACATGTCTTTCAACAAAAAACTGTGGATTCCTCCTTCCACCACGTCGCCTTCTAACCCTGGCACGACCATCGTGCATGCCTAAACAAAATTGAGACTCGTCACTAAAGACAATACTGTTCCATTCCTGATCACAGAGTGACCGTTGTCTGCACCACTCAAGGCGATTACGTCGGTGTTCTCGAGTTAAAGGGAGGACCCAGTGTGGCCGGTATGAAAACAAGCCAAAACTTGTCATTCGTCGGTAAACACTTCGCATGCGAATAGGTCTTCCGTGTTCTGCAAACCATTCATTTGCAATGGACCTGATAGTGGAGAAACGGTCCCTTAAGGCCAATAATCTTCACGGTCTGTTGTTCTACGGCGGCGTCCAGTGCCCCTTGCTCTTTGCGTACGGCCTTCTCGAAGCCATGCCTGACAACACCTAACCACAGTGTCTACACTTCTTTGCACTCTAACTGCAATTGCCCGAAAAGAAAGTCCAGCTTCCCGAAGTCCCACTATACGGCCCCTATCAAACTCATTAAGTTGACGAAATCGTACAGGTCTCCGTACTCTAGGCATCGTAACCGATCGTAAAGGATGTCAAGAACCAAAATCCGCCAACGTTGATTCTTTACTGCGGCTGAAATATTCATTTTTAGAGCGTTAGTGAATTAAAAAAAAAGCAGTATAAAAACCGGAATGTCCAACTGATAAGGCTGAAAATTTTTTCACTTGTTATTTACAGTAAGATAAATACATTCACCAACTTTTATTAAAATAAAACCATTTAAACTGGGTGTTCGGATTTATATGTCACTTAGTATAATTGGATGGGAATCAGAACCGCTATGTATGACCCGCTATTGTTATTTTAATTACAAGAATAAATTTAACGACTTATGAAGAGTTAGATTTGGTCGATTGCCACGAATCATTAGTCTTTTAGTACAAAATAGTTTCATCTGTTG